ATCTCTCTTCAAACTCCTAGTACCAGGACCTTGGCTCCTGGATCCATTAATTCTCACTCCCACATCACTTACAGGACCAGACCTCCATCATACATATCCTCATCACCACTACCATTGGCGTTTCCCTCGTCTCTTCACAAACCCTCTGCACACGGCATTCATGGCAAATGCAACACAAGAAATTAAACTCTAAACTTAAATGCTTCACCTATAGCCAACCCACCCAAAATACTTTCAGATCTAAATACCTCTTATTATATTCCACTTTTTTTTTTAAAAAAATTTTTCTTAATGAATCACTGTGAGGTAGTTACAGACTTACAAACTTTCGTGCTCATGGTTCAGTCATATAATGATCGAGTACCCATCCCTCCACCAGTGCTATATTCCACTTCTATAACACACATTGTCTTTTATTTATTTTTGCTTTTTGGGTCAGACACGGTGACATACAAAGGGTTACTCTGCACTCAGGAATTAACTCCTGGCGGTTCTCAGGGGACCATATGGGATGCTGGGAATCGAACCTGGGTTGGCCACGTACAAGGCAAACGTCCTACCCACTATACTACTGCTCCAGCCCCAACACACATTGTCTTTTACTCAGAATCTCTAGTCAATCTAAAACAAATCAAAACTCCACCTACTGACATACCTTAGGCAGCTCATTTGACATTCATTTGACTCCCCAAGTTCTCATTAGATGGCCACAAAACAAAACCCAAACAAGATGCCCAGTTCTTCTCTAAGTCTCCACAGTTCATTCTAATCCAGTACCAACTAATAATCAGATGACCGCAGTGTTCCACTTTAGAGACTGGTTTCCCTCTCGCCATTTCAGTTCTGTGCTCTGCAGTCAGGGCAGCCTGTTAAGACTCGAGGCAGATCACTTTCCCCTCTGCTACAAAAGTTCCGTAGCTGCCTTTACTCTCAGAACAGAAACCAATCATTTCACACTGCCACTACGTGCCTGACAGGACTCCTCACTCTGTTCTCCTCAGATACCACAGAAACTTATAGTCACGCACGCGGCTACCTACCTACCAGTCACGCATAGCCACGCAGAGACCGAGCGGGTCACCCGCGCGGTCTGACTCCGAGCCCTGACGTTCCGGATCGGACGGAAACAGCGCTGGCCTTGGATGCCAGGCCGCGGCTCGGAAGGCCTGCCCCTGAAGCGGAAGTGCTCCTGCGCTGGGCCTGGCGCTGTGCCTCCTGGGTACCGCGGCACTCTGGGTGGGGTCCTCTGTCTTGGCTAGGTCACCTCCACTCTTAGCTGGGACCTAGGAACAACGGTGGCGAGGAGTGGGAGGCCTCGAGTGTAGCAGAGGAAATGTGCCCCCGGCGAGAGGGGTGTGGGTGCAAGGCGGGTGGCGGTGCCAGGTCCTCCGTGGCTGTTAAACTCTGTTCTTACCCGCAGACCCGGGAGAACCAACTGAGTCAGTGACCCATGACCTCCTTTGCATGTTGTGTACAGGACTACGCCTATGGGCACGGGTGTACAGAACTGCTGGGCGAGTGAGTGGGGGAGATGAGCGCGTTTCCTGTATTTCTGTGGTTGAGACTTCTTATTGCCCTTTTCAGGTTCCTGGATCGCTCCGTTTTCTCGTCATTTAGGAGCCCGGGAGCACACTCAGGCCGGGCCTTAGTATAAAAGCCCTTCTCCGTTTCCTAGCAGGTTGTCTTAGCTATAGAAAACATTATTTTAAAAAAAAAGATTACATGTTACAACTTGCAGCGTCTCTGCAAGGGGAGTCGAGATGTTGGGTGAAAAGAAAAAAGAAGAAAATACAGTGGAATGGATGTGAAGTAAATATTAACCGTAATGATCTTTTTGGTTTTCCAAGAAAAGTGACAGAAAGGATTCTTGGAGGGAAAAAAGAAAGCCTGACAGTCTGCCACATACTTTAGGCTCGGGGAAGAATTAGTCTCTGCTGGTCACCATCATCATTTCCAGAAGAGATGTTTTGAATGTTCCTTTCCAAGTGACACCCGACAGCTACAGTGGCCACTTCCTTAGGCTGAAGGACTCCCAATTTCAAGCTTTTAATTGTAACTTTTGCACTCTTGACTGAAAAGTCCCAGAAATTTAATAGGGTGGGGTGTATTAAACTGCAGTGGCCAAAGAGCCTAAAATTAAAAGGAAAATTTCAAACTGTAATTTGAGCTAGGTGAAAGTTAATACTATATGTAAAAATCCATGTGACACAGCTAAACTATTAGAGGGAAATGTACAGCTTTAAACAGTTTACCACAAAAGAAGAATGCCAAGAAACCAGTGAAGGGGCCAGGGATGCCTCAGTGGAAGAATCCTTGCATACTATGAAGCATGAATGGACAAAAAACTTACCATGATGTGCCCTAACAATGCAGGAATAGTCGAATACAAATGGTAGTAGGCTGGGGAGATTGGTCAAAGGACTGGAGTGCATATTTGCAGACAGGACCCTGGGTTTCACCTCTAGTAGGCCTGGTCACCCATATATCAATGACTATCAGTGCCCCAAGCACTGCCAGATGTGGGCTACCTTCCCCCCAGCACCAATAAACTATGAGCAACTTTGCTCCCAAGAGTTATGGTTAAGGGATTGGCAAGATAGCACAGCAGGTAGGACATTTGCCTTGTACTTTGCAGACTGGGTTCAATCCCTGGCACCCATATAGTCCACCAAGCACCACCAGATGTGATCCCTAAGCACAGAGCCAGAAGTAAGGCCTGAGCACCACCAGGTGTGTGCCCCCAACCCTGAAAAACTTCTGGCTAGTAAAAAAGTTAAGTTCCCACTGCCCAGCAGGTGTACACTATGTGATTCCACTCCCATGAAAGTCTAGAGAAATGGTGCTGCTCAGGAACAGTGGGGAGAAGGAAGGGGGATGGGACACGAGGAGCCTCCTGGCTCTGTGGGAAACATTGGGGACCTTGACTATGTTGACCGTTAACTATACATACAGTATATACACATGCTGGAAAAAAAAGTTCTATACTTTACATATATGCAATTTATTTCAGGATAGGCATATATCTCAGAATTATTAAGATCTAAATGTTCACCATAAAAATTAGTTATTATCATCCCTCTTAGAAAGTCACATCTTCCAACTATTTTGGCCCTACTCTGTCACTCTTCCCATAATTTAGGAGGCTGAACTTTGCCTTTGTGTCACCAAAACCAGGACAGCAATTAACTTCTATCACTAAAAACACTGGCTCAGGGTTTGAGCAGTAGCACAGCGGGTAGGGCATTTATTTGCCTTGCATGTGGCTGATCCGGGTTCAATTCCCAGCATCCCATATGGTTCCCCGAGCACTGCCAGGAGTAATTCCTGAGTGCATGAGTCAGGAGTAAGCCCTGTGTATTGCTAGGTGTGACCCACTGTCACTGTCCTCCCATTGTTCATTGATTTGCTTGAGCGGGCCCAGTAACATTGTGAAACTTGTTACTGTGTTTGGCATATCGAATACTTCACAGGGAACTTGCCAGGCTTTGCCGTGCGGGTGAGATACTCTTGGTAGCTTGCCAGACTCTCCAAGGGGGCGGAGGAATCGAACTTGGGTTGGCCATGTTGGCTGCATGCAAGGCAAACGCCCTACCCACTGTGCTATCGCTCCAGCCCAAGCGTGTGACCCAAAAAGCAAAAAATAAAATAAAAATTTTAAAAAATTAAAAAAAATAACACCAGCTTGTCAGAGGTCCTATCCTTGATGTTTGGGGGTTCCTGCCAGAGAGTGAAAAGGTGAACAATGCAGGAAGGTACAGGAGCCAAAAACCTTTTGGAATATTTATTCTGGGAGCAGCCCAGCCACAGTACTTGGGGTGTCTGAGAAGCCTGACAGCACCTGTACACTCTCAACCACACACCCAAACCCAAAAGACTTTCATACATGCCTCTTTTATTTGTTTATGCTGGGGACTGAACCCAGGGCTCACCTGCAAGGTAACTGCTCTACTGCTCATAAATAACCTCAACTGGAAAAGATTCTTTAAAACAGAATGTGGCCTCATTCACCAGTTATCCCACCTATTATCCTGTCATCTCTATACCAACTGTGACTCAGACCTTTCCCTCTAACCTCCCAGTCAATGAGTCTGGTCTTCAGGGTTCTGAACACAGAAGCTAGCCATGTCCACATCCAAGAAACAAAAATCCCTTCAAAGTGCTGAGTTATACAAAATAGTCCTTAGAACAAAGTGCCCATTTCATATTGCTTCCAGAAGCACTGGAGAGCTTCGGCAGACCCAGAACTCCCAGGAGATCCTGGCAGAGCAATCTGGTGCCCATGAGAGCTGCCTGTCCTTGCATATGGCGAAAACCCAATTCTCACATGAAGAGTGAGAACAACTGTCACAGCCTTTATCACCCGTGGACCAAAGAAGCCCAGGGCGGGCAGTTCCAAAGTTCCACTTGCTCCAGTGTGAATGATCTGGTGCTGAACAAGGGTGTCCTTGCAGCTGAAAGCCTTCCTACACTTGCTGCACACATACGTCCTGGCCCCTGAGTGGACTCTCTTATGTTTACTGAGGCTGGAGTTATGGCTAAAGAACTTGCCACACTCACTGCACCCGTACGGCCATTCTCCAGTGTGGAATCTCTGATTTGGAAGAAGAATCATCACTGTTGTCCACTTGTCCACAAAGGAAGAAAATCGTATCTGGAAACATTCAGTGGCAGCTTTAGCCAGAGCCAGATCATGTCCATGAGAACCCAGTCATGGGGGAGGAAATAAGCCTGACACTTTCTCCAGTGTGGAATCTCTGGTGCTGGATCACCAGGACAGAGGTGAGGCACAGAGGGTAACCTTCCCTGAGCACACTGGAATGACCTGCACACAATTGCTGACAGCCAGGTATAATGGGCTGGCTCCACTGTAGGCACTGGTGGGACACACCCCTGTATGACGCTTTGGGAACTTGCTGTAGGCAGATACATGAATGGATAAGGCACATCTGCTGGTGTGGCTCCTTCAAAAACCACTCACATGCAGAGCTTCCAATACTAATCCAGCAGGCTGAACAAGAAATCAGCACATTTCCTGCCTCCTTCTGACATTTCTTGAGGGGAAGATGACAGTTAAACTGCCAACAAAATGGCTTTCAGAGACCGTTCCCCCCGTGGACTTTCTGGTGTCGAACAAGATGGGAGCTTCTGCCATAGGCTTTCCCACACTCACTACACACATAAGATTTTTCTCCAGTGTGAACCCTCTGGTGTAATATGAGACTTGAATTGCACCTAAAAATCTTGACACATTCACTGCATTCATAAGGTCTTGCTCCTGTGAACTTTCTTGTGCTGAACAAGGTGGGAGCTGCTGATGTAGGCTTTTCCACACTCACTGCACACATATGGTCTTGCTCCCGTGTGGACTCCCTGGTGTAGAATGAGGCTGGAGTTGTGGCTAAAGCACTTTCCACACTCACCACATTTATAAGGTTTTGCTCCTGTTTGAATTCTCTGGAGTACAATAAGGTTGGAGCTGTGGCTAAAGAATTTCCCACACTCACCACACTCATAAGTTCGTTCTCCAGTGTGTCTTTCCGGCTGAAGGCCTTCCCACACTCACTGCACTCGTAAGGTCTTGCTCCAGTGTGAATGATCTGGTGCTGAACAAGGGTGTCCTTGCAGCTGAAAGCCTTCCTACACTTGCTGCACACATACGTCCTGGCCCCTGAGTGGACTCTCTTATGTTTACTGAGGCTGGAGTTATGGCTAAAGAACTTGCCACACTCACTGCACCCGTACGGCCATTCTCCAGTGTGGAATCTCTGGTGCTGGATCAGAGTGTCTTTGAAGCTGAAGGCCTTCCCATACTCACCACATTTATAAGGCCATTCTACCGTGTGAATTCTCTGGTGGTGAATCAGGTGGGAGCTGGGGCTGTAGGTTTTCCCACATTCACTACAATCAAAAGACCGTTCTCCAGTGTGGATTTTCTGGTGCTGAACAAGTGTGTCTTTGCAACTAAAGACCTTTCCGCATTCATTGCAGGCGTAATGTTGCTTTGCAGTGTGCTGTTTCTGGTGCACTTTCAGGTGGGATGGGTGAGTGAAGACCTTTCCACACTCGTTACACATGGGAGATTCTTTTCTGTGCATTCTGCAGTGAGTTATAGCTGACTTCTCTTTGGACGTATTTCCCTCATTCCTCATTCTCAGAGGGTCCCCTTTCAGAATAAACTCTCTGGCTATCAAGGCAAGGAAAGCAGTTCAGAAAGGATTTCTCTTTACCACTGTCTCCCTGCCCGAAACTAGGGCTGTGTGGGGAGGTGACTGTAAAGCCAGTCTTTTGGCCCAGCTCTGGCCCACTGTGAGGGGAGAAACCAGGACAGTATGGCCAGGCCACTCCATCTTCCCTGCCAGCACAGTCTTTCCTGACACATGGACGGCAAAGCTCTCCACAGGGAAAGTCCCAGTGCTGTGCTCCCCAGAGGGCTTTTCCCCAGGACATGGATCCTGCTGCTGGTGGTGGTGACTGTCTGTGCTGACCAGGGGCCCGTCCCTACTCAGGGCCACACAGAGTGAATCCAGGGGTGCAGTATCCCTCCAGAGCAGATCACACCTCTCATACAGGTGAGTTCTCTGGGCACAAGGACTTGTCTCCAGGGACCAGGCCGGCGATTCTCCTTTTGTGGACAGCTCGGAAGGTCCTGCCTCACGGGCCACATCACGCCAGCATCCTAAAGACAAAGCAATCTGGTAAAAGACACATGGCTGTGGGGAGCAGGAAGTTGTTATGATGTGGGTGGAGACATACCATGATCATTCACTAGAAAGCAAGGAAGCCAGGGTCAGGTATGGGAGCCCCAGCATCAATCCCGGACCTCTAATTTCACCTTCCAAGGGAAGATATAGCAAACTAAAGTTCGAAAGATGGTTACTATGGAGGAACTCAGACATTGGCTAAAGGCGACAATGGTGTTCAGTACAGACAAGTTACAGAGACTGCCACCTCATTCCTCTAACAAACTTTCAGCAGGGCCTTGACTGATGGGGTCAGATGAGTTCTATGTAAGTTTGGTACAGTTCCAGGAAATACTGCACACTAATAAGGTCCTCAGGGGAGCAGAAAAGTGAGGGAATGCTACAGGCCTTGGCACAATACAGTGAACACAAGAATATGGTACAATGTGGACCCAGCACTGACCTGTCTCTTGCCCCTGCTTCCCAAAGTGGCAGGAGTCAAGTCTGCACCCATCAGGTACCCCAGGCTGTTATATTTGATCTGGAAAATAGAAGTGTTTAGAAACAAAACAAAAATTCTGAGAGTAGAGCCAGAAGTCAGAGTAGAGTAGAGCTTAGTGGCAGAACGCACACCTAGCATATGAAATCTCTCATTCAATCCCCAGAATGGGGGACAGGGGTGGGGTATGGAGGAAATAACAAATGTCACATTCAAAAGGACAAGCCTCCACCCTGGGCATTCGGTCTTGCTTAATATGAGGCATATTACAGAAAGGCTGACATTATGGAGCCAGGGTAAAAGAACAGTAGGGAGGGCATTTGCCTTGTCGACCCAGGTTTGATCTCCAGCGTCCCATATAGTCCAATGAGCACGGCAAGGAATAATTCCTGAGGCAAGGAATGATTCCTGAGGCAAGAAATGATTCCTGAGTAACTCTGACCTGAGTAACTTCAACCAGGAGTAACTCTGAAGCACACACACAAAAAAAAAAATGCTGGTGCCCAACCAAATCGTTAGGATGAGTCCATGAAGAGCGACCCACAGATGGGCAGAACCTTGGACAACACTTTCATGATTCAGCAAGCGAAAGGCTTGTGTGTCCAAACTGGTCTGGAAAGGTTTACATCTCTAACTGCTTTAGTCAGCTTTAGCCTAACTTCTAGTATAACAAGAAAGCAGTTTTCCCTTTCTCACAGATCCCAGACCCAGCTTATCTTTGAAACACAGACATTCTTACATCCTCCTGATCACTCCAGGTGCAGGGGGGCTGTAGCTCATGGTGCCAGACTGCTTGGCTTTGCATTCCTCTCTCTGGAGGCTGCGACCATTGGGCTTGCAGATGTGACAGAACAATGTATGCTTTGATGTCCTGATGTCTCTCCTGTAATCCCTTTTCCCACCCCGTTAATGATTTCTTTGTACTGAGTGCATTAGATGTGTGTAAATAGGATAGTAAATAAAAGAGGCAGTGGGACGCTTCTTCCCTGCTTCTCTGCCGGAGCAAGCAAGGAGCCTCTCCAGGAAATCTCATTTCTCTTGCGTTTCTTATCTCAGTGCTCCCAACTGAAAGAATATTCACACAACAGAAGGGGGGGGGGGTCCTGAAAGGGAACCAAGGAAGGCCTCTGAACAACAGTTATAAACTAATGCTCACAATTTCAAAAAAATTGTGCTACATACAAGCACATGACTACATTTGTAAATGGGCTGCAAACCACACGAGTGGAATGTAATTTTCCCAAGATCATCTTGAGAAGGACATTCCCATGAGAAGTAGCTCTTCGTAGTTTGGCTGAAATCTCATCAGAGACCTCAGCTGAGCAGCCAGGTTAGGTGTGACCAGATTCCTGATGTAAAGAGAAAATGAATTTGGGTTACCCAGCTATGCTCAGGGCTTACACCTGGCTCTGTGCTCAGGAACCACTCCTGTCAGGCTCAAGGTACCTTATGGTGTACCAGGGATTGAACCTGGGTCAGCCAAATGCAACTGCTCCAGCACTACAACGACTAATTTTTTTTTTTTTAATTACTGTAAGCTACATCTTATGCTGACTTGCCAGGTACCAGTAAATGATTATAATGGGGACTTAACCAGTGAGGCCACAAGTGCAAAATTTTCCAGCATCACATGTCGGTACAGGAGTCTCTGAGCCTCTTTAAGGAGTTCCCATTTCTTGAGGGAGAAGACATCCTCAAAGGTCACATGAGCCTGTCATGATAGGTCAGATGAGTCCACAGGTGGCAGGATCCCCAGTCTATCCACTCATGCCTACCTCCAGTCCCTTTTATTTTGGGATTACACCCAGCGGTGCTCAGGGCTCACTCCTATCTCTGCACTTAGGAGTCACTCCTGGTGGGACTTAAGGTACCATATATGTTGCCAAGGATCAAACCCAGGTTGGTTTCATGCAAGTCAAGCATACTGGCCATTTTTCTACCTCTCTAATACCACCACAGGTTCCTTTTTGTTCCATATTTTTTTCTTTTTGGGTCACACCTGGCGATGCACAGGAGTCACTCCTGGCTCTGCACTCAGGAATTACCCCTGGCAGTGCTCAGGGGACCATATGGGATGCTGGGCATCAACCTGGGTCGGCCACATGCAAGGCAAACGCCCTAACCACGGTCCTATTGCTCCAGTCCCTGTTCCATACATTTTAATCCCACTAGTGCTACTCTCTGATTCTTGTGTCCAGCTCAGAGAAGAAAAAGGCATGTGAGAGGAAGAGCAGATGTTACCAACAATGTGCCTCCCAGACTCAACTTCATAACTGCCAGCTGGAGCTCCTCCATGAAGACCACTCTCTGAATACCCCGTCCTCTAACTTGGATTCCCCACTACCTCTGACAACCTTTTGATATACACTGCATGTAGCCTTGCACTAACATGTTAGTGCTTGTATGTTTCTGTCCAAGGCACCACTGCTACCCAGAAGCCTGGTAAGAAGCCCAGTTTTTAGGCCATCTACGTCTCAGGTTTTTGGGGGTGTTTTGCTTTGGAATCACATGTGGTGGTGGGGGAGGAGAGCTCAGGGATCACTCCTGGAAGGGCTCAGGGAACTGTATGTGGTGCCAGAGATGAACCTAGGTCGGCTGCATGTAAGGCTAGCACCAGTCATCCCATTATCCACGTCTCTTACTCTTTCATTTTAAAATACCTGGTAGAGATTCTGAAATCAACCTGTATCTCCACCCCACTTCCCATACTGGCATCCCCTGTTAAACATCAGAACCTTCTCCCCTGAACTCAAGTCCTGTGCCCAGTCTGATGGGTGTGCAGAAGGCTTTTCAGCTGAACCCCAGGACAGCCCTACAACTAGGGAGTGATCACTTTATCTTGTGGTGGCTTGGCTCACAGGGAGCAGCAGAGGGCTACTGGGGCATTCTACGTGGGCCCCCACCACGAAGCATGTGCAAGTAAGAACCTCAGGGGGTCTGGGTTCAAACCTATCCCTCTTCTGCCGCAAGTATGCCATGGCAACACAATCAGCAACATCACACACACAACAGCACTATTACACATATACGCCATCCAATACCAGCACTATCACACATACATGCTCTACCACACATACAGTAGCATCACATACACATACACACACACACACACACACACACGGACACGCCGGACACACGCGGATTCCCGCACCTGCACGGGCCAGGGCGTGCGGGCTTTGCCACTCACCGGCGCTAGAACCCAGCGCTCCAGAGCGGACATAGGCTAGTGGGGTGCAGCAGTTGGTTTGGGGAGGCGGGTGGATGGCGCTAGCCCGCCCCAGCAGGATGACCTCAGCCTGATCACGACACTCGTGCCTCAGGGGTCCCCTCATAGAAAGACGAGCAAGATAGGTGGTGCCGGCGTCCAGGCCTCGGGCCACCCCTAGGCAAGCTCGCACCTCTCTCGCAGTGGTGCAGCGCGGGGCGCAACCTTCAAGTCCCCGTCCTGCCCATCGGACCCTCGTGAGGAAGAGACACAGAGACAGTCTCAGCAGCCAAATCTGGCGCTGCGACTCAGGCGAGAGACGTCACAACAGCTACGCCAGAAGTCCCGCCTCCACAGCAGCACGAGGAACCATTTTCGGTCCCTCCGCTGAATGCGCAATCGCCGGCACAGACTTCTGGGTATTGTAGTCCAGATCAACCAAACCATCTCCAGTAAGAGAAAGCAGAAGTTTATAAAAAGTGTTATATAGGGGTTGGAGCGATAGCACAGCGGGTAGGGCGTTTGCCTTGCTCGCAGCCAACATGGTTGACCCAGGTTCGATTTCCACCATCCCATATGGTCCCCCGAGCACTGCCAGGAGTAATTCCTGAGTTCATGAGCCAGGAGTAACCCTTAAGCATCGCCGGGTATGACCCAAAAAGAAAAAAAAAAAAGCGTTATATAAAGTATATAAAAAGCGTTATAGCCGCTTCCCAAGATCATGAGGCCTGGATAGTGTTTGCCCTCCGGGTTTCCTTCTTTCAT